TCGTGTTTGGTTGGGTTGTGCTTCCCCCCAGTTGAGGTGCTGGAAGGAGAAGCTCCCGTCTCCCATCTCCCGCCTTTATCTCCAGGCCTTGTGTTTTGAGTGGCGTGGGCACAGTGACCCGAGGAAGATCAGGGAGGTCAGTCACAGGAGGAGACGAGGAGTAGGGGGCCACGTAGAGGGAGAGGGATGAGAGCCCTCCTGACTAGTTCAGCTCCTTGGGGAAGCACGGCCTGTTAAGTTTCATTTACAGTGCTTGGATGTCATTGTGGGAAACTCGCAACTCAAGAGCTCTCTTTCTGTTTTGCTTGAAGCTTGGTAATTCTCTTTTGCTTTCTGCTAGCTGACAGATCGGAGTTCTGTGCTGAGGCACATGCCAGGTGAATTTGTCTTTGGAGTGCAGTAAAAAGCTACAGTGTAGCTTGTTTTTACCTCTGTGGTTTGATTTGTTTTGCAGTTCTGAACGTTGAAACTCTGCAGGTTGGTCTTTCTAGTGGAGGACATCTTCAGTGGTCGTACCCAGAGAGTTTGTGTAGTTCAGGTGAAGGAGTAAGCCTCAGTGCCTTTTGGTCTGTACACTACAAATGGTGAATTTGGGGCCATTCGCACCCAAATCAGAAGTTACACGGAGTACATCCCAATGGGGAAGTGGAGGAGTTAGAATATCCCAAGTTGGAAAGAACCTGTAAGGATTACAGAGTCCCATCAAGATTTTGACCTATAGTCACACAAATACTGAGCTGGTAGTGCAAAGGGTATTTCAGAGGGATGTTTTAGTCCACGGGCAGCTTCCTCTCTAAAATAAACCTGAAGAAGGCAGGAATTCAGCTGTCCTCCCAACCAGTCTTTCAAGTTTTCAATATATTTGGTTTGGTGTGACTACTGTTGTAGAAAGAGAGGGGGAAAACTGAAAGCTTATAGATTTGCCCATTTCTTTTTTTTATAAACCCTAATCTTGTAATGCAGGGGTTTTGAAATTAGGTTGCATTTATAAAGCATATTTTTCTTCATTGGATAAGTGGTCCTGGAATGCACCAAGATGATTTTATTTGGATCACAAAACGTTTTTGCATATACTGTTTTTTAGGAGCATGAAAGTCTTCAGTGTTTGCCCTGAAGTTTTGATAGAATGTGTAGTGTTTTCTGCAGTGCTTTGCATTACTTGTTGCCAGCTGTACAAAAGCTTCTTTTCAAGTTCCCTAACTAAGAAAAGAAATCCTTCCTGGTAAAGGAAGTGGACCAGAACAAATATTTTCTGCATGGTGAATTTCCAGTTATTAAAGGTGTACAACTGTCATTTTAACTGCAGAATTGATCTGTGTGCTGCCACTATGGTTAAAAGCTATGAATGGGGGCTGGAAAGAGAACCATTCCTAAGGAGGAGTACTTGGGAGGTTAGGAGCAAGATCACCCTCTTCCCTTCATCCCATTCTTTCTACCATTACCAAGAGAATGCAAGAGAGAAACTTAGCTTGTACCAGCACTGAGAGGTGTTTCAAAATTGCTTTCTTTTTACAGAAAATGAAGTTTCTGAATGAGATCTGTGGCCTTAAAGGAAACCTTAGGTGGCAAATGAAGTAATTAGACCATTTCTCCAGCATTTGTCCCTACCTCTAACAGGTGCCTTCTGCCTGATGACTTTAGTCCTCAGGGTGAGTAGAAAAGTTGGCAACTCTTTCAAACTCCTTTATCCGGGCAAATGGGGGGAATTCCCCTCTTCCTTGGTGCTGGAGAAGCATGGGAACTGTGAGGTCTCGCTGTGACTGCATCTGTCTAGTTGTGAAAGAAACTCAGGACTGGCCTTGCCATTCTTCCCTGTGCTTTCCTAGGATCAGTGGTATTTTATTAGTCTTGTCCTATGCAGTATGTATCTTTCCTTGTAGCTCATCTCTTGGTTCTCTTTCTTTGCCATTTTGTGTTTCTTAGAGGAACCATAGCAATAACATCAGAACTAGATAAAGGAGCTCATTCATTCATGCTTTGCTTGTTATAGAACTACTTTGATGCTCTTCTTGTGATACATCTTTTAATTTATAAAAGGCATTTTATTACATACTTTAAGACATAATATAGATTGAGTTTATACAAGAGAAGCATCCTTTTAATTATAGCTCAAAACTAAGTGTGTAAGAGTTTTGGCTAATACAAGCTGGTGCCCTGTGTGGTGTTTGTTAGTGACTTGTGTTCTCAGAGCCTGCTCTAATGACAGAATGTCTGAGAACTTGGCTTAGAGGCATTGGGAAGATGGAGGAATGCATCCCTCCACTGAGACTTTACAGCACTGAGGAGTGTGGTAAATCCTTTCCCTGTAGGTCTTGTCCACAAGAGGAAACTACTGAGGCATTAGTGCTGTGAGAACTGGAAATAGAGGTGGTGGATGAGTAAAAGTAGTTAACAGTTTTATTTTGCTCTGAATTATCAAAAATTATGGGCAGCTGTCCTTTGAACTATGCTGGTTGTGTGCTGAACAGCTCAACAATAACACATTCACTTGGTTATTTATAAATGTGGTGGGAGCAGGAAAAGCTCCTTAAGTTTTTATCTGTTATGTTTCTGCATATTGCATCAGTGCAGGGAGATGGAAGCCTTGAATTACTAGTACATGAGCTATTTTCATTCGACATGGAAAGCCTTGCTTGGCAAGCCCTTTTCCAGTATTTCTATTTGAGAGTGAGAAAATGGTTCTGACCGGACCCCAGGCCGTTCCTGTGCCTGCCATCTGGTGGCCAGATTCCACAGCTAACTTGATCCCTTTGGGGAAGATCTGATTCTGGGCTGGGTTGTCACAGCCCATCAGGGGCTCTGCCTTTGGGATCCTTGAGAAAAAAATAGATCCTCAGATGGAGATCAGCTTTTGTGTGTTTCCCGGAGAGGAGAAGCACGTTCTGTAAGTTGTTACCATCTTTGTTCTCTTTCCCAGGACATGATGGAGCTCCTAGAAGAAGATCTCACCTGTCCCATTTGCTGTAGCCTGTTTGATGATCCTCGTGTCCTGCCCTGCTCACACAACTTCTGCAGAAAGTGTCTGGAGGGAATATTGGATGGAAACGTGCGGAACGTGCTGTGGAGGCCATCCCCTTTCAAATGTCCCACGTGCAGGAAGGAAACTCCTGTTACTGGAGTCAACAGCTTACAGGTCAACTATTCCCTGAAGGGTATTGTGGAAAAGTACAACAAAATCAAAATAACTCCAAAAATGCCCGTGTGCAAAGTGCACAGCGGGCAACCCCTGAACATCTTTTGCCGGACAGACATGCAGCTCATCTGTGGGGTTTGTGCCACCCGTGGTGACCATACAAAGCACATGTTCTGTTCCATCGAGGAAGCTTATTCCCAGGAGAAGCGGGCTTTTGAAACCCTGTTTCAGGGCTTTGAAACGTGGCGTTGTGGAGATGCGCTCTCTCGGCTGGATACCTTGGAAACCAGTAAGCGGAAAGCTCTGCAGATGCTGACCAAGGATTCTGACAAGGTGAAAGAATTCTTTGATAAACTGCAGCACACGCTGGAGCAGAAGCGAAACGAGATTCTCTCTGACTTTGAGACCATGAAGCTTGCAGTGATGCAGGCCTACGATCCGGAGATCAATAAACTGAACTCGATTCTGCAGGAGCAGCGGATGGCTTTTAACATTGCAGAGGCCTTCAAAGACGTGTCGGAACCCATTGTATTCCTGCAACAGATGCAGGAGTTCAGGGAAAAAATCAAGGTGCTCAGAGAAACCCCTTTACCTTGTTCCAGTGTGGACATCACCCCTACAATGAAGAGCTTTGATACCAGCCAGTGGAATGGAATCAAATTGGTTGACGTGGACAAACTTTCTTTACCTCAGGAAAACAACAGTCTGAAATTGAAGATTCCCTCAGTCTTTTCCCGCAGATTTATAGTAGCCTCTCTCATCTGCTTGCTTATTCTTGCTGTCACCAGAATGTCTTTTGTGGAGTCTGTGGTTGACAACTTCCAGTGCTGGAAATCTCAGTTCTTTACCATTAGCTTGTCCTACCTGGCAGATACGGTGGAGATAGCTGATCATGCAGTCTTTTATTGGGAACAGATGACTGATGGAGCCTCACTTCTGAGTGAGAAATGTAAAAACTACACGTTGGTTGTACTGGATAATGTTGCACAGTTTGTGTGCAAGTATAAACTGTTGTGAAGTCCTTACAGAAATGTAAGAAGTGAAAGAGATTTGATGGGGAAAAAAAGCGTAGAACGTTGTAAAATTAATTTTTTTTTTTAAAGACTTTCATTGTAAGCAATCAGAGATTTGAAATGTTTTCAGAATGTCTGTAATGTTCGTGTAGTTGGAGCACTACTAAACTGAAGGTGAAACAGAGCTCTGAAAAACATGTTCCTGGACTTTTGTGGTGGTGGTGATTATGGAATATTCATTTAAAATCATTTTCCTTACCGAAATTTAGGGCCTGTGTACTTACTATAATGACAAAATGCTTGTGGAGTAAGAAATTGTATATTCTTTGATAAAAAGCACTCCTATAGGGCATAGTTGGTTTTTTTTTTTCTTAATTTGAAAGTCGTTTGGAAACAAGAAGAAGAGCTGTGATTGAGAAGAGTGTACAGTAATCTGAGGGGTTTAAGATTGCCCTTCTACTGCACAACACAGTGTAGAGTTCAGTCTGGAATCCCTTTCTACCTGAGGGTGGTTTTACCTGTATTCTCTGAAAAATAAATGTGTGTGTGTACGTAGGTGAATATATCTACATGTATGTAGATGTGTTTTTATATATTTTTGTAAAACCACGAGTTGAATTTTCCTGTGTGTTGTGATTACTGTAGATACTGCTTATTGTTTACATGTTCTATACTACAAAAACAAATTCAGGGTAAACACCTCGAATAAGTTCTAGAGGTAAAAAGAAATCAACTGATATTGATAAGAGAACAAGCTGCAAGGTTCTCTATACTTTACAGTTTACTTCTCTAGCCTGGGTTGTCTTGTTTCATCCGTGTCTCTTTGAAGCCATGCTTCCTTAAGATGTGGCTTCGATGCTGACAGTCAGTGTGGTGAGAAGGCAGCTTGTGTTGTAGGCCTGCAAAGATGGCAGGAGGAACAGTTTCTCTCCATCTGTGTCGATCCAGATTGTAATTCTGAGAGCCAGGAAAAAAGATGGGATGATTTGCTTGGAATGGTGTGTAGGGCCTTGGGAATAACGATGTTGTTGGTGCTTTAACATCGAAGACATAGGTATGATCTTTTAATGTACTGGGAATTGAGTTTTATGGGTGTTACTGGCTTGCTTGTGGGATAACAGTGGCTTTAAGTGAACTGTAAGCTTGAGTTTGCTGAAGTGCCCTTCTTTAAGAGCGTATGATCCTGAAATATGTGGCCTGCAGGACATCTCCCTTTTTCTTACGGTAGTCCTATCAACAGCAATATATAGAATAAAAGCATTCTGTCCACGTTTCCAGGAAAGAAAAGAAATGGGTGCCATACTTCAGGGATGTTCCTTGGCCTCTGTCGTGATTTAATATATTGTGATGATCAGTTTGCTGTCTTCCAGTAGTCCTTGCAAGCTTCAATTCCAAGAAACAAAGTTTCCAAGCAACCAAGCCCTGCAAACAAAAGTATTGTATTTGCATCTTTGTTACCTGGGAGCGCTGCTGCCGCCCCACACGTCGCTCCAGATGGCCTGTGGGGTAGCAGAGATCAAGTCACAGACGTACGGAGCGGAGCTGAGGTAGCGATGAGCGGTCGAGAGGTGGTTGCTGTGAGTGTGGGAGGTGTGAGGTTTGTAACCCGGCCCTGCACCTTGCTGCGGTTCCCCGAGTCCAGGTTAGCGCGCATGTTGGGTGGTGACGACCCGGAGTTTAAACTGGTGAACGGAGAGTTTTTTGTGGACAGAGATGCCGGTTTGTTCAGTTACATCATGGACTTCTTGAGGACTCTTCAGGTCTCTCTGCCTGCTGATTTTTCAGACTTCCAGAGGCTGCGCAGAGAAGCGCAATTCTATGAGCTGTACCCTCTGGCTGAGCTCCTGGGCCAGGAGCACCTCCTGAAGCCGAGGCTGGAGATCTTGGAGGTGCGTTTTTTCCTCCAGGAGATGCAGGCCTTTTTCCGGATCTTCGGTTCCTGCAGTAGCACCGTGGAGTCGCTGGCTGAGCAGATCACTGTGCTTACGGGGCAGCTGCCAGGGCAGGGCTGGAGCAGTCCCTTGCCTTCTCAGAAACCACTAATTCCACTTCCTTTGGAAAGGCCTTCTCATCACGACATGGTTTTTCAGTGTGGAACCGACTGCTCTGCTGGTGACCGGTTTGTGGCCAGGTACTCTCCAGAATGTGACTTCTCATGATAGAAACAGCTTCCTGGCTTCTACTTCATGGAATACGCTCTGCACACTCTGCAAGCTCATTGTGAAGAAGCTGTTGGACAATTGTCAGAGGAAAAAAATGTTTCCTTCTTTCTGCTAGCTTAATGCTATGTTTTCCAGCTCTGAAGTACCCTGTTTGATTTCTGTCACGTTGTTCTTAAAAATGTTCCTGACTGTCTGAAACACTGTCCTTGATGTTCGTTTTTGTGTTTGGTTGGGTTTCTCTTCTGTGCTCTCTCTGCAAGGCTTTAGAATTTCATAGCATCGGTGACCTCGTAGAAAACTCGAAAAATGGCATGAAGGGAGGCAAAGAAAGCAAAATAAATAAGCAGTGAGATACAGGAGGAGGCTAAAATCCACTAGCTTACGGGCCTGTAGACTTTCATGTTGAGAAGAGGAAATAAAGGGTGGCTAAACAGGTCAAAAAACACCAGAGGAACTGAGATGGCAGTTCAGGGACTGGAGAGCTTTTGTACAGCCTTTTTATTCCAGGAAGAAGGGGTTGTATTATTAACTATGGGATACACAGTGGGTTTTCTCAGAGCAAAGTTTGTTTAATTGAGATCGCTATGAATCAATGATTTTTGTGATAGCAGCATCATATTCCAATAGCAACCTATATTTTTTAAAACAAGCTCTTGCTGGATGTCTCTATTGTATGGGGACACATTCTTACTGTATAAGAAAATGTAACCTCATTTGTCCTCTGTGGCAGCTAGAACATCTGGAACTTCATGGAAATTTCATTGAAATAGTTCCAAAAGGGTTATTCTCTCTGAATATTTGAATTAACACAGCAGTCCTTTGATTGTGTCTTAAAAAAAAAATCAATAGAGCCTATCTTCCTTTTAGCTCTCTTCAGCTAAGCAAGCACAGGGGAGAGAGAACTACTTTGCATTTGTGAAGGGACATCTATTTATATGGCAAACCTCAATTTTATCTATTTTGAATTATTTTACTGGACTGACAGTTGGCTGAGCACGTTATGGCTACTATTCCACTGCTTAAGTGGAATATTCCTGATTCTTTCCTTTTTTAATTCTGACTTTTAGGACTTTTCCTTTGCATATCAGTAGAAGAGCATCCCCTGATGCTGCACCCCCCTGAAACAAGCCAGCTTTGGCACTGTAGCCTGCTGAATTTCTCTTGACTCAGTCTTTGTGCTGGCATCTTTTCTGTGTGCTTTCCGTAAATGTTTGGTGTACTTCCCTGTGAACTGTGGAACAATTTCACTCCTCAGCTTATGTATTTTGTAACAGTACTTTTATCTGACTTCTGTTCCTTCAACTGGACAGATTCTTACACTGTACTTGATACCAAGTAAAATCCTGAAGTGATGTGAAAATGATTTTCTTACTTGTTACCACCAGAGCTGCTGTATGGGGTGACTGCAATAAATGTCACTGCTCCTAGAGAGATCCTGTGTAGTGGGAAGTGGTGCTGTTGGGATGTACATTGCCTTGCTGTCCTTTCCATCATCTCTTACCTGGGAAGCTGTCACATATTACACAGAGGATGCCATCCACCTCTCTTGCACCGAATGAAATTAATTCAGGGTTCTCTCTGCTGGTTTAAGTAAACTTTGTTGTGGGGGTGAAGGAAAAGGGCTTATTGCTCAGTCTGTAAACGGCAAGCTGAGGAATGCTGCTCTTACAAAGAGGAGAGTGAAGTTGTCCTCAAGGCGGGCAAGAGATCCAGCGTGTTGGCTGTAGGTGTGTGCAGCCAACTGCTGGCGTGCTCCGTCCGAGCACTTGGTTTTGTTTGATTATTTTTGCTGTTTGATTACATCCTTCGAGAAAAGTATTAAAGTGTTCTGTAACTGCTATTTTTTCTTCTTTCAGGTACGTTTCCATAAAACCTGACAACAGAATGCTGATAAATGGTACTAACGTGCTAGGCCTGCTGATTGACACGTTGCTCAAAGATGGATTTCGCCTCATAAGCACCAGGACAGTTTCCAGTGACGAAAAAGTGGAATGCTACAGTTTTGAAAGAACACAGAGGCCTGTAAGCCTTAGCATCGCTGCAAACCAACACCCAGAGAGCTCTGGGACAGTGCAGGCGAGGGGAAGCCGAGTGCAGAAGGGGAAATAATGCATTTTCCTATACTCCCGTGAAGGTGGAAGAGGTGGTGTGTGCCAGCACCAGTGGCCTTTTGTTTCTTTGTTTGTTTGCTCATTTGAAACTGCGGCTATTGAGGGAAGTAACAAACAAACAACTTGTTAAAAAAGGAGGCGGAAAAAAAAATGCTTTCCTGCCTTTCCCTGCTCCACCCTCTTTAATTCTAAATAAAAGAAGCACAGATTCAATGCTGTTTTTGTGGACCAGATTGCAGTACTTTCAAGGGCAGTTTTTGTTTTTCTCTGTGGCTAAAACTTCTGTGACTCACAGAAGATCAGTCACTCCTTCTAGAAAACTATTCCTATGTTCTGTGCTCTTCAAATGTGATCACATGCAAAGGAGTTTTGCATGCATGAAAAAGGACTGAAGCAGTGTGGAAAAGTGTCTGGAGGAGGAATGTCAACCTGAAAGACTGGAGGTTGTTTCTGCTTTGGAAACACCAATTCCTGTAATGGCAAGGTCACAAGTTATGCTGCTGTGGGACTGGAGACACGAGAGCATGGCTTTGTGAAGCCACTGCTGGCGTCCATGAAATAATAATGTGCCACTGTCTCTTGCAAAATACTCCTCTGTCCTCTCCCCACACTCTGAAGACACTGAGCTGCTCATTAGTGCTGAGAATTAAATGATAAAGGTCCTCAGAAAATACTTGTGATGCAAACAAAGAGTCAGTCAGTTCTTAGAGCCTTAACTGTAAGAACAAAAATGTGACGAACAGTCCTTCAGATGGAAGAATTGGTGAAATTTTAAACAAGATAGCACAAGGTATCTCTTAGTGCTTGTTAAATGAAAAGGTATTCAGGAAGGAGGCTTGGCAGAGGTCGCTTTGGGAATTTTTACCCTGTACAATGGTTTGTAAAAGTGCCAGGATTATTTCAGGTATGGGAGAGGTATAGAGGCTTTATAGATGAAGAACCTTTTGTCCTACCTAACAGGCAGATCATGGCAGTGTCAAGGATTCATTATTTGAATCTGATTTTGTTTCTTGTTCAGAAAACATGCTACATCAGCCTGTCTGATTAATTAGGTCTGGCTTTCCTTTAGCTTTAAAGTGTGAATTTCTTTACAGCACTTAGGAATGGTGATGGGGATCAGTCTTCTGTTTCATGTTTGTAGCGTTTGCAATGGAATGAATCATTTCAGACTTGTGGTGCTGCTATCAGATGTTTATTTTCTCTATGCTACCATAAAGCATTTTAGCTTGACACAGGTGTTTGGAGCTTTCCAGGGGTAAAATAATGTGATTATGGGACGACATCTCCTAAGCTGCTTACAAGCTACATACGTGTAGTAAATATTATGGAACACGCTTTCACTTCAAACTGGATTTTTTTGTCAATAATGTCAACCAATATGTTAATGCTTTGAGCACAGGCCTTTCATTAGACTTTTTACTAACAAAATTAGGCTATTTCACCTACTGCAGAAGCAGTGAGTTTATTTTCACTGCCGTAACTGCCATTTTTGAACTCTTTTAAAATAAGGAAAAAGAAATATATATGTTTTAACCTACAGCATTACTCGTGCTTTGTGGTTTTGGCAAAATGAAAATTTGATACAACCATTTCACAGATTGTGGCACAGCTGAGGCTGTCTGGGCTCCCTGAGTCCCTCTGCTCCATCCCCTGCCCCAGCAGGGACACCCAGAGCAGGGTGCCCAGGGCCACGTGCAGGCGGTTCTGGGAGATCCCCAAGGAGGAGACCCCACAGCCTCTGTGCAGCCTGTGTCAGTGCTCCATCACTGCACAGCACAGAAGGGCTCCTGGTGTTCAGAGGGAACCTCCTGTGCTCCAGTTTGTGCCCATGGCCGCTGGTCCTGGCACCAGGCACCACTGACAGAGCCTGGCTTTGGCCTCTGGCACCCTCCCTCAGGTATGTATGGACATTAATGGGATCCCTGAGCCCCCTGCAGCTGAGCAGTCCCAACTCTCCCAGCTACTCCTCATAGAAGTTTCTGTGGCCTTTCATCAACTTTGTGCCCCTCTGTTGGACTCTCTCTTCCAGGTTGTCTTGTACTGAGGGATTGCAGAGCTGAACCCCGTGCTCCAGGTGTGGGCCTCAGCAATGCTGAGTAGAGGGGAAAGATCACCCTCATGGGTTAACTTATCCAGCACAAACACCATCCTATGTACCTAATATTTTGGCTGTGGAAGAATACTCCAGTGAAAGCTCCTGTCCTGTAAAGAACCATAAATACTTTATCTTGACACGTTAGGGCCACCAAGAACCTGTGCATATGAAAATTAGTAAACTGGGATTCCAAAGCTTTTCTGTAATTTTTTCTTAGCTATTAAATGAGATGTGTCATTTTTGCACCTGTTCCCCACCCCCCTCCCCCCCTTTTCTTTTTCTTCTTTTCTTTATAGTTGCTTTAGGAAGTATAACAGCACATGTGTGTATGGCAATTATTCAACAAGTGTATCGGCAGCAGAGCTTTTCACACTGGTGCATTTCCCCAGCAGGCAGCAGTTGCAGAGGGAGAAGTGAATTTGGCTGATCAGAGCACAAATTAACCACAAGTCTGGGTGATTTTCAAGCCTTTTGGTCAAAACCAGATGACGTGTTAAACTGACTAATTTCACACGCATCTTGGCAGGTCCACAAGCTATGGCATCTCCCAGCACAATCTGTGCTGGACTAGAAGCATGGTGGAGGAGATCTGGTCATGTTTTTTCATTCAGGAGAACAAGGAGCTCTGATTGCTCACAGCTACCTCTATTTTTGATTAAATAGGAGTTTTTGAAACCTTGGATTGTTTTTCCAGTTAACTTGGAATTTGTGATCACTGATATTCTACTTCTTCAACTCATTGCCCACATTCTCAAGAGAATTCCTTTGTCCAGAAGGTAGAAAATTTGCTAATTTCAGTCCATTTACGGTTGCCTTTTTATTCTTCATTGCATTCAGCAAAAAATTTGCAGACTGTCCCAGAAATCCAACCTACTTCTGGATGTGCAGTGAATTCTCCTCTGCTTTGTAACACACAAGCGGAATCCCAGAGCAGTAGGGCTGCTAGAGGGAAAGGAAATGAAGCTGTAAGACAATGTTGCCATTCTGTCCGGCAGGTGCTCAAGTTTACATTGCAGAAGTAGATTTTCTAAAAAGGGATGATAGTGGCTTGATGCTTCATTTGCTTTCATTCACTTGATGCTTTGGAACAGGTTGCCCAAGGAGGCTGTGGTTGCCCCATCCCTGGAGGCATTCAAGGCCAGGCTGGATGTGGCTCTGGGCAGCCTGGTCTGGTGTTGACAACCTTGTACATAGCAGGGGGATTGAAACTCAATGATCATTGTGGTCCTTTTCAATACAGGCCAATCTATGTTTCTATGATTCACTTGTAAAAAATCAGTAATTCGGAAAGAAACAGAATCATTGAGGTTGGAAAAGACCTTCAAGAGCCCCAGGTCCAACCATCAGCCTGACCCAAGTCCCATCACTACAGTGTCTCTCTCAGTGCCACGTCCATGTGTCTTGGACATCTTCATGACTGGGGACTCCACTGCCTCTCTGGGGAGGCTGTTCCAGTGCTTGAACGCTCTTTTGTGAAGAAATCTTTCCTGATACCCGATTTAAGCCTCCCCTGGTGCAATTTGAGACCACTTGTCATCACCTGAGATCATCTTGTATTTCTTTCTTATGTTAATATTTCCCCCCTCTTTTATAGTTAGATTTTACCCTATGTTTATTTTTTCATTGGAAGGTCTATTATCTTCCCAGTTTTTACCTTGTTTGGCTCATTTTCAATTGCAATGCTCAGAAATAACCAGTGAATCTGAGCTTTGCAAGGCTTAAGTGTCTTTGTTTTGGGAAGGGATAAAGCTAAGGTGTATCCAACCCATAGTCTGGGTGGGATGCAGTTCTGATCCACAGCTGAATTCAGTGCCAGAAAGCAGCCAAAGTGGATAAGAAGTCAGTCCTGTTTGAGATCGCAGCAATTCAAGTGCATAACTAGGAATAATTAGGAAAAAAATAAAAATCTGTTTCCAGATTGCTGGAAAGTGTTATTGAATATTCACTGGGAAACAAGCTGGGAACTATCCAAGAGGAGGAGGGAGACTCACTGCCTCTTATTCCTTCCCTGTGATTTGCGCTGAACCCTTGCCAGGCTTTAACTTTACAAGGTTTATTTTTATTGATTTTCAACAATAAACAGTGGGAGTATCTACAATAAAAGATTTACAGTGCATCACGAGGAAATACAACTCCCTACCAAATATTATATTGATCTATTCCCAGATGCTACTGAAACAGCATGTAAAAGCCCAAAGCAAGCCCAGCGATGGAGAACTTCCTCTCTACTGACAGATGCGTATGCCTGTTATGTCTTCAGAAAACAATAAAAGGGAAGGGAGTGACTCTGCTGCTTTGACCATATCTTCAACGGCCCAGTTAAATCTGTCAGCTCAATGTAAGCCACATAAATAAAGAAGTGGGAACCAAGGGAGCTGCTAGCGCATCTGAAGATTCCCACTCTTTGAAGCTGCATCTCCTGCTGCAGTCAGGCCATAATTAGTCACAGAAGGCCTTGTTGTGACTAGCGCATGGATGGACCAACCGTGATGTGAATAGTCTGGAAATGGCTGGAGATGTGCCTGGAGCTCAGAGTACTCTCAGATGGGTGGGCGGGGTGTAAATCACCAGTCATCATGTCAAATCAAAATAAATCTGACTTCTGTTAAAAAAGAGGGAACGTCGGCGTTCTGGACCATAATGTCGTTGCTGCTGGAATAACCCCCCAAAGTTTTATCTCTAAGAGTGATCTGACGTGTAAATTTCCCCAAGAATTCTTACTCCACTTCCATTCTCACGCAGTGGCTCAGTAATTGGTGGCTTCTTTCTGGTTAGAAGGATGATGAATGTTGCCCTAAAGGTTGGAAACAGTAATGTCTACAAATCTGCTTGGCAGAATGAATTTAGTGCTTTGCTTTCTAAGCAAGTTACTGCCACAACAGCCAGCTGAGTGCTTGCAGAAATTGAGAATTAAATGTTGCACCATTGTTCCATCCTCATTCTAGGCTGGAAAAAAGGCAATGGATTGGAAACATCAACTCTGGGGTTTTACTCATACTTTGGTGTTAGGAACTCAATTTTCTTTGAATTTCAAAGGCAGTCTGCAGCACTCATTGAAGGCCTTCTGCAATGACTGCTCTATGCTTTCCACCCGTGATAAATGTGTGATAAAAGTAATTGACAAGCATGCCATTGGGTTAGACTAGATGATCTCCAGAGCTCCTTCCCAATCCCTACAATTCAGTGATTCAGCAACAGACATAACACAGCACGTGCTGATCCTTCTTCAGTCCTTGCATGCCATTATAAGCCCTCCAGCTTGCTCCTAGGACTGATCACTGGCAAGCAGAGGAAGAGAGTGAGTGGATAGAGACCAAAGAAGAGAGCAAACCCAACTTAATTTTCCTTTTGCAGAGGAGATAAAAGATACCAAACATAGGGCTGGAGGGACTCAGTACCTTTGTGGAAACCACCTTCTGGCAGTACTTAGGAAGCATACACAGTGTAGTGGTAGGGTTGGCAGTACTAAGTTAATGGTAGGACTTAATGACTTTAGAGCCCTTTTCTAAACAAAATTATTCTATGATTCTACTGCACTGAAAGGAGAATTAGCCGAGCTGCCAGCAGTTCCAACACTGTCAGGTAAGGAAAAGCAGAAGATCTGATAGACTGAATGAATGGGTGGGTGACAGCTGCTACAGGAACTTGGAAAAGGCACAGAATGACATAGGGTGGGACAGAGACATATAAAAGACTATAGGGACTTAGAATTTGCTAGATAAGTGGCTCTGCAGAACAGCTTGCACTGATGCTTTGCATATCTGAGGAACAAATTCTCTCTTGAGGTCAGTCCTGTACCTGCACTGGAAGTGAGCCATTGCAGGATCCAGACATTGAATCAGTCATCATGATACCCCACATCTGGAAACAGTGACCGGGCTTTTGGTGGCTGCACAGACAAGCACTGAAGGTCTGGATACCAGCACTGCCTTGGCTGCACTGGGGTGATACTTCCACTAACTTGGACATTCCCTTCTGGTGGCTTTTGCTTCCAATCCAGTTGCACAGTGGAAAGCAGTCACCCTACTAGCAAATTCCTAAAGGACGGATTAGTAGAAAATAAGTTCCCTATCAATTTTCCATAAATCATAAATGCATCCTCTTCTGCAACAGATTGTTTTTTCCCCATTTGCAAATAAGTCCTTCAGCCATATAATCTTTGTTTGCGATCCGTGATTGTTCAAAACTATCTTCTGAAAATGGTTCAGTATATTGTGGGTGCCTGGAACATGCTGACAGTTAATGATTAAAACGGCCATGCTATCAAGAATGCAAATGAGAAATTGAAACTGGATGTAACTGAATCCTTCTTCCCTGTCTGGTAAGGCCAAGCAGTGCCTTCAGCCCCAACATTGTTGTATGCCAACATTCAGAAGTTTGTCAACTGAAGCACGATGATGCAATTCAAAGTTTGCTTGTGCTCACCTGTCCTGAAACCTCTACAGATACAGAAGGAAAAGAGTGGGCAAATGACCTGCTTCTTGCTAGAATCATCTTTCATTTCAGATATTTTCTGCAGAACCTCATCTGGAAAACGCACCTCCAAGTAGAAAGCCACTTCTGCCCACGTGCAGCACCTTGTTGTGCTTAGCTATAAGCCTGACATGTGCTTCTGAGGGAGGCTTGAGTTTGAGTTGAATGGTCCAACATCACATGAAATTGAACAAGATAAAACTATGGAATAACTTTGCTATGGTTTTGATAACCTCAATTCTGTGGATGGTTCAAAACCCAACTTCCTCTCTACTCACAGCACCGTGACACAGCCATGATGAGCAAAGGGCACGACAACATTTTTCAGGGGTTCATATCCAACACATTCAGGATATGAAGACAGGGATTCCTGTTCTTCTGAATTTCTTCTTAGATGTCTTCATGGTTGGACTTGATGATCTTTAAGGTCTTTTCCAACCTGAGTGATTTTATGTCTGTGGCCACTTTTACCACTTCAAATTATTATTCACAAAAATTAATTATCAGTACCCTACTTAGCTTGGATCTCTCCCTCCCAGAGGAGTAGCAGCAGATAGAAAAGTTCATCTGCTTCCCCCGTCACTCTAAGTTCCAATTGTTGCTGCGTTCAGAGACTGTTTTCCAGTGAGAGCTGGCCTGAGACAACACTGAGTCTGTTCACACTCAGCAATGCCTCTAGCGTCTGGTAAATCTTTCTGCCAATTGAAGACTTTGTACTGAGTAGGTGCAGGTAACAAATCAGGAGCTGCCATGGTGAGAGTAAGAATGAATGGCGTGGACAGAGACAATTCAAACTGTGACATGGCAAAAACAGGCTTTCTTTGAAGACTGAAGTCAAATATCTGGATGGCATCTCAAGAACCCTTGTCATTTAATAAATACCAATGAGAATGTGGAGGTGCTGAAAAATGCAGCAAGTTTCCATCTCTATAAGCATCCTACTTTGAACCACAGCTAGTGCCTCTACCTAATGTAGAACATCCAGCTGAAGAGAACTTTACAGGAGGATCCTTCTGTCCTTTTCTGATTCTGAGCACAGGGCTATTTCCCATGGAACTGGTCTTACTGGGACCAGGTGACTTTCAGAAAAGTATCTCAGTACCAGCAGAACAGAAAACAATTAAATCATCACAGAAGTATGAGTGCCCATAGAGATTTCTAAGGGTCTGAGCCAGATTTGATAATGGAGCGCTGGACTGATTAGTTTGGTTTTAGCTGAACAATCCAAAAGTGACTCAACTTCATACAAATTCATTCCAGTATCATTGCCACTGATGATTTCTGCTCTGACAACACAGCTGTTAATGGATTCAGACTGCAGACCACATCCCATGAAACGTCAAGGTAGCTCCAAACCTGCATCATAAAACTTCCTAGTGTTCCTAAGTACGAGCTGTGCTTACCTTCCAAACAAATCACATGCAAGGAGAAAATTAGGATGGATTTTGCAGAAGTTCTGTTCCTTGTCACCCTCTAATCATGGCCAAGGCATACTAGGAGACTTGCTGACAGCCTAGAGCACAAAATGGAAAGAACAAGTAGGTTCTGCTATTTTTCAGTGTTTCTGCTCAGGCAAACCAGAACCGGAGACAAGGTGCCTGTATCACTTGTTACATCTTGAGGCAAGATGTTTTGGCCTTCATTGAAGATCCAGATAATGCTCTTCAAACCAAGTAAGCTGTATCTTACATAGACAGCCCTTGATAACAGGGCCACATTATGCAGTATGCCTCTGAACATTAAGCATTAAGTTGTACCCATTCATGAGGTATGCACTGATATGAAATTCTTCCCAGGCTAAAGCAGTTCATCCAGCAGGAAAATAACAAAAGCTACTATTTCTGAAACCAATCTTAGCAGCTCTTTAAGTGCTGACTTAAGTACAAGTTAGTGAATAATAAACAACCACCTGCTATATCACAGGCTAATGAAGAGCTCTGTTCAGTCACTGTCAGTCTGGAGAACAAGGGGCTGGACAGATTAACACTGCTCATGCACTGATTTACAGCTTTTGCTTCCACATGTGATGCAGAACAATACCCATGTACAAGAACATCAGATGCACAGGTACCAATAGTTGAATATGGAGCCTGGATACAAATGTACAGACAGAAGAATAAGTAGAAGTATTCTTATATAGTAGAATTGTAGTATTCTTATATAGTAGGGTTGGTTGGTTGTTTTTTTTTTGTTTTGTTTTGTCTATGTAGTGCCAAAATGAGGAAGGAGCAGGCAAATTTAAAAGGAGTTCAAGACACATGACTTGCTTTTAATACAGAGGGTGACAAATTCCTGTCCTGAGAGCATGCTCTATGAGGAATCAGAGGAGTTTCACTTAGGCCTAGAAGTCTCAAAGGAAGAGCCTACTGGCAGCCTGGGAAACAAACACCACAAATCATCAGGAATAGACACTATTTTTATAAGAACTCTGAAATAAAAGTGAAAAAGCAGAGATACAGGCAAGAATTTGTCAATTACCTTTAGAAATATCCACTGCCCTACAATGGCCAGCTGCTCATAGTTCAACACTCAGAGAAAGGTGCAGTTTTGGAAGAAACAGATTGAGGATACCTTCATAGAGTAAGGCAGCATCTTTCAAAAGCTACTTACTTTATGCCTGAATAAGCATAAAATAACAGGATCGTGCTATCACAGCTTTGCCAAGTAAACTTTATTTTAAGCTACTAGAATTGCTTGAATGAAGTATAAATTACACACAAGCCTTGAGGCTGTCTTATAGTCTAATCACAGTTTGGAAATTAAGTAACCACTCCCAAAAAGAGGAGTTGTAGCTTCTCTGTTCACAGCAAGTTGCTTAAATCTCTTACCCAGAGCAGACTCTCGTCAATCGCACTAATTGGGGAGGGAGAGCGTAAAACCTTCTTGTCAAAAACAAAAGAAAAGCAATCCAGAGTAGTGAAGAGGTGAATCACTGCTGATTGCTGAGCAACCTTTCTTTAATTCTGTTACCTCCCCTCCTCGGCAGCTGTAGAAAACCCAAGAGTATAAAGCAGTTTAAGGACATCTTTACTGGTGCTCTCTCCAGCAACTTAAAACAGAAGTTTGGCATAACAGAGATCTGTGATCTAGTTCACAAATATTCAACTATCTCAGTGTTCATCTACTGGAAACATAAGGTATTCCTTTAGCATGTTTTAATGGGCACTTGTATTTACTATATGATCTTTTTTACTATTACTTAGGAAACATCTTAAGAAAAGAATATGGAACTTGCAAAGAACTGCAGTTAGTCCAAGAAAAACAAACTCCACTACCCTTTGAAATCCTACCTGCAGCTTGCTTTCATCTGGTAATGCTAACAGTTATCACTGCCAACAACCATTGAACAAAACCGTTTTGTGACTTCTATGCTTTTCTGCACATATCATTGATTTAACAAGAAAGATGAGGAACATCTGTGGGCAACTTTCCCCAAGTACTATTTTTCAGAAGCAGGAGACGTGAACTTGAATCCCCCCTGATTTCTGAAGAACCTGAAACCTGGGTTCTCTGTTTCCCAGGTGAGCCTCCTGCTCCTGCTTCAGCTGGACCATCTTACACTGATCTGAAGGATTTTAGGTGGTCATGCCAATATTTCAGCAGCTCACCAGGCTTAGTGACTTTGGGTCTGTTATCTTTCCCATTCTTCCTCTTCAAGCACAGCGTATATCCTTGCCCTCTCTTGTTACTGTCAACTGTTATACCAGATTATAATTCATCTGAAAAGGAGAAAGAAAGAGTCCTTAAGCATTTCAATTTTCAGCATCATGCTGTAGCCTTCTGTCCTAGAAGGCTACTTTCACACTGGTGTCTCTACAAGCATTATAGCTCCAGATTTTTAGCCAAAAATCCAGTTCTTCAAATGAAGATGAACTTTCATGCCCTCATCCACATCCGATGAAGAAAAAAATATATATGTGCTGCTTAACGCAGGGCAGAAGTGCCTTTGAAACAGAATTATTCTTGACAAATTTTCTTGAGTCACCCGTTGTCCTGAGAATTCTCCACAGGTCACCCACTTCCACCATGAACAGTGCCTTTTGAGCAAGGATACACCATGCAGTTCTAGACACTAACTGCTTTCATATAGTAGCTATACATACAGTACCCATTACCCCATTGCTACATGGATATACAGCGACAATTACAAGACAGGTTTTTGGTTTCCTTTATTTATTAACTGTTAATACACATCCTTTAATTTTCCAGTATTTTAGGGTTGTTTTTTTGGGTAAAAAAAAGGGCTTTTGCTGTCCTTATAGACAGGAAAACACCAACTGCAAGTAACCAGCTTGTTGCACATGTAGCAACTTAAGAAAAGAATGAAGAAAAGCAGAAATGAATAACTAAAAAGCAAGCCTCTTGGTAAAATTACACTTGGCTAAATAGCAGAAGATGTTGTAGATAGGCCTTCAAGAATCCCAATCATTAAATAAGGCTGGAATCTATACCTTGGTAGTTCAGATAGTCGGCAAACATGAGTTTTAAAATCTATTACCTGCATTCTTAAGAGAAGTTAATCTAAACACCAGGCATTATCACTTTATCACATCTGTCTGCCTAGTCTTAGATTTTGATCACAAGGACAAAGTCCCGACTATATTTTCCTCTCATCTCTCTAAAATTTGGCTTCTATAAAACCATTAATAAACTGGACGTGGATACACTGTTTAACTGAGCTCTGACATTTACCTTATTCAGGTGGAATAAAACTTGATTCACAAGCAACTGTTTCACACCTTTCCCCCCCCTATTTTTGCTGTTTGAGATAGGGCATTCAAAAAACAGCTTGAGTGCAACGAGCTGCTGGATTTGAGCACAATTTGTTCCTGGAGCCTCCACAACAATACAGCCAACAGGGGGCTGTCTGGCTACACGATGTTACATTTTCAGCCTAGAAAACCTTTTCCAACCATACAACCTACGGTCAGACAAGCAAACTTCCTAAATAACCTGCAGGTAACAACATGGTAGCTCTTCTTTTTTTTAATCTTTGCCTGACACAACCATTCTTATTCTGATGTCTTAAGATTCATTTCATATGCACATAAAGAAAGTCAGCACTTTTATTGATGTCTGAAAATAACATATTGCTTATTGCAAGAGTGACGGACTTCCACATAAGCTTGATGGTAGGAAAGGTGTCACAGCCATTTCCATACATTAGGAATCCACGTGTATGTGAGCATTTTCGTGTTATTTTTATGTAAAGATATTCTTCTTCTGAAGGAAAAGTAGAAAAGGATGCTGTCAGCCCCTTCAGCACTGAATAGTTGTCTTCTCTTTGTTCAGAGACTCCTCCCAATTATCCCCAAAGCACGCAGTGAATACTGACAGCTATGCTAACTTCTGAGCGGGCAAGAGGCAAACATCTTTTTTTCTTGAAGCCTACAAACTCCTGGCCTTTCACATAATTATGAAAGCAGTTATTGCTGCTTTTTTTTTTTTTTCTTTTCTACTGCCTCTATTCATGTTTCTCATGCTGCACCTACAGGTCCTGGACTACATTTTCCTGTAAACTCCTTTGAAGGATTTAGGGAACAGATAGGTGAAGTCAGTAGGAGTGTCAAGAAAGGAAGGCTTAGACCCAGAATATTCCTGACACTGGTTTAAGTAATGAAACAAGCTTAACTTCTGGATGATTCTGGACTGCCATTCTCAAGAGGGTGGAGGGAACTTTTCCTTGGTGCCAGCACTGCCGCTCTCACAACAAGCACATTCAGCCAGCTGAGCTTACCAAAAATCAAACCCAGTCACCAGTGAAACCACCATGGAAACATCAGAGCCAGGCTAATACTGAGGGGAACAGGAAGACTCTGTCAGCTCCAAATTTGTCTTGCTTGAGAATCACAGAACTGTAAGTACCACACTCATTTGTTTCTGTCTACTATTATATTACTGGACCAGCTAGAATCTCTGAAGCATTTTCTTTGCCTTTATTTCAACAAACTATTAGAAGTGTGTGCATATGAGACTGTGTTCTATGATTTATGCCTTACGTGTTATAAGATCAGAACTACGTAAGATTTCAGAGTATTTTATGGTAGATTTTAAAATACTATGCCTTTTAAACTACTTCAAAGCACTGAAGCTTCCAATAAAAGATCCCTTTATGCAGAGCCACATGCTTACCCTGCAGAACCCATGGCTCATTTATGGCATCTCCTGCAGTTACAAGCAACAGAAAAAAAACCCACAACAGTACGGCTACAGTATGATTCCTATCTCATATCATAAGCTAAGTTGGTCAGCACTATCTACCTAAGATTGAAGATTCTGTCTGGATACATGTTACTATAATTAATATTTATTTCAGAAATTTTGAAGGCAGGGATCAATTTTTACAGTAAGAAAAGGGAGCAATATTAGATATGTTACATTTTGTTTATTAACACAGCATTATTACAAGCAAGACAGATTCTGAAAAATAGAGCTGTACTTGAGAGCTGTTAAATAACTGCCAATGGAAATAAACTGCTTAGGGTGCTAACCAAGTGATTCTACTTGAACTGCTAACAAGGTAACAGACAACACTCACCTCTTCCTCTGTGATCTGAAGTCATAAATGCCATAGAAAATCCCATGAGGAAACACATCCCTGTAGCACAACTAACAGACAAAGCTTGAAATAAGCAAAAACATCCCTTCAAGTGACTATCATCCCTACTTTAAACGTGACACAAAGATATAGAAACTACAGTAGTACCCAACGGTTGGAGGTATCCCACTTGAAATATGTAGGAGACTACAGGCAGACATAACATTACACAAAGTTTAAATTCATGTTTGCAATTCTTAAGCAGATCAGCTGCAAACGTGGACATCCAGTGTTTCCATTGGACTTGATGGCTTAAAGCCACTTGTGAAAGTGAGGAACATAACACTACAAAAACCAATGGTAATTTGTACACCGTACAAAAATGAAAACAGAAAATTAAATATAACATCCAATTCCTAGGATTTCTCATTTCACGTAAACATAAAGACAGAGTTTCTTCTGCTTGTAGGCTTTGGTCCATTCCCTACAGAATTTTCAACCTGTTTCTGTAGCAGAGTTGAACTTCTTCCTTGTACAGCCTACAAACACCTTCCCTGACTCAGCAGCACACCACACTGGTCCTATCATTGAATATTCCATACGATCATGAAGACTGCTTCATAGTAGACTAACACAAGGGGGCAAATTAAGATCAGATACACCTCTGAGAGGCCTGTTCTGCCTGATTCTGCTTCGGCTAGATGATCTCCAGTAGCACATCAACTACTTTGTAATTTTTGAATTTCAGGATGAAATTTCATGAAGTAGCTGACTGTAGTAATAAAGACACCCTTTTCTCTGTGGATCTGGATGAGAAATGAAAGTGACTGATTTCATAGCAAAAACTACTAGGTCGCAGCCTGACTCAAGTGCTAAGCATTCTAATAAACATTAACGTTGACCTGCTTTCCCCTGCTTTCTTTTTACAGTATCAGGCAGGGTTCCTTCTGCTAAGCTGCTGCTTCTTCCATCTTCAAGAAACAAATGAATCCTTAAATCATTGCCCAACCCGTACCAGTCCTTCCAACTTTCCAATTTCACATCTCTTTCCCCTACCAGTTTGCAGCTCCAATCTTTCAAACACTGGAGTTGCAGACATGCTCCTCTCACCAGCTGTCTTCACTCTTGAATAGCAACTAATCTCAAGATATTTTCAAGCAGGCCTTTCTTTTATTTCCCTTATTTATGAATTAAGCATCTGCTTTCCCTCACAGTTCCTAAACTAGCAGCATCTGGACTGAATATAATACACCTTTCTTTCTTCAATCAGGCAAAATCCATAGGACCTCAGAGCTGCAAATGTAGGAGAGTTCCATTCCACCACTGGAGACAGTGCATCCTTGCAGGTTTATCTCTGGAAAACATAACAGCTAATATGTAAGGCAACTATGAACCATGCAAAAAAAGGTGACATTCTTCTCAAAGGTTTAGAAACCAAGTAACATGGATAGGTCTTCACAAGCACTTGAAAGCATACTGTTGACAATCAAACTAAACTGGAACTTTCATTCCTTGTTTGAATCTTGTTTCTGCAAATGCTGAAGTTGTATTTTCATCCCCATTAGCCTTCATGGCTAAACAAAGAAATGCAAGCTCATATTGCTGCTGCTTCCCACTCTCTGCCTTGTGCCAGTATAGGGGCTTGTGTGAAGAACCAGAAAAACTCTGTTTCACCGTTCACACAGCAATGCCATGCAAACAGATCTGTTCGTTGCATGCTCTCAGATCTTTCCGATTGGCTTTTTAGATTTGCATCTATGCTCTCTGAAATCTCAGAGATACAGCCCAGAGATATTAAATATTGGATCCATGGCAGTGACAGCATGGATGGCCCTTGGCAAACACCACAGTTTGCAGCAGTGCACGGTTACAGATAAGTTATCCAACTTTGAGCCAGATAACCATTTCTGAGCAGTCAACCTCATTTTGGCTGTGCATCTCAAGAGACAAGTAGTAGGTAAATGGCACACAGAAGCAAGTACTAAAAGATACTTTTAGTACTATTTAGTACTGTAGCTATTTAGTACTGGATAGCTTTACTATTGAGAAGTGCTCAGGTTGAACTAAATTAGAAAGTTTTAGTCAAAAGTAGTTTTATTATTTCAAATCCATAGCAGAGGCAGGAAACAAAGAAGTGATTTTTCACCAGTATGTATACTGGGCTGAACATCCAAGTAATGCAATGCAAATTTATTAATTGTAACAACTTGCATTCATATTCTCTACATCATGTTTGTACCTGTGCAGCTGCACCAGTAGCAGATCTCTGGAGTCAGAAATCCCCAGTGCAGAAAACCTTTTTTCCCTCCCTCAATTTAAAACATCTATGCGATGTATAAACTTGAAGTTGTAAAAACACATGCAGTCTTCAAATAAGTGTTTTAATGGCAATATATAACAGGGCTAATAAAACAAGATTAGCAAGTGATACTGAGTCATGACAGTGAAGAAAATAAAATTCTGAAAGGAAACACTTTCAGATCTTGCCTGTATCTAAAATTAGTGTCATTTACATAACCATTAGTCCAAGTTTGACTCACCACACAGTTCTTGCATACAGCTTTTAAAAGGAAAGGATCCCAAGTAATTTCCATTCTCACTGCAGCAATTTCAATTGTCTCAATGAAAGATTCCCCTGCAAAAGAAACGTGTCAGTGGAAGATGAGAAAAGAATTAGTAATTCACAGTCACTTACATAGTTAACAATTTTAGGGTTAGAATTTTCAGCTGTTTGTAGTTTAAGAAATGAATTAAGAATGTTTGATTTAATCTGAGACCTGAATAAATTTCATTAGTAGTTTTGGAAGGTATTTCTGCTGTATGTGCTCGCTTCGCTAAAAATATCACTAAACATTTCCCAATTTCCATCCATTAAGAAAATGCTGTAAAAATTAATATAGTTACAGGAGTCTTAATAAAGATACACTAGCATTTAAAGCGATGTCACTGTTATAATTATATACATAAATATACATAAAAACACACTTACCAAAGCACTGTTAGACAGGTATAGGCTGAGATCACTCCTTTAATAAATTCAGCTTTCATGTAAACCAAAGCAGTCAAGACTACATATGCACCTAATCCACATTTGCCATCAGATAACCTCAATTCCTATATATTGTTACCGACTAGAGGAAAACACAAACCAAGCCAAGAAAATGTTCATAAACAATTGACATATAAGCAACAACAAAGCGGCTTCAGGAAATACAAACGTTTTCTCTCATGACTCACATGCAGAAGTGGCTAGCCTTACTTCAGCAGCACAGTTAATACTGGAGATATTTACAGTTTTAACACCAATATTTACGTGCTGCTAGAGTATGACAGACATCAGCATCACAAGATTGACTAACACCTAAATGACATTTCTCTTCAGGATGGTGAAATCCTTGTATTTTTGAGGCAGCACAATATGGCCTGCACCTTTTCAAAACCCACAAACCATTATGTGCTGCTACGTTATGCCAAGGTGTCTACTGCACTTTGAGGATGTAGAAACCTATGCTGAGAGCTAAATGCAGAACTGTGTTGAACAACAGTTTTTTGTGTATTGACGTGAACTGTATTATCTACAAAATCCTTATAAAACATTGCCAAGCTGCTTGTTTATTTACACAAAGCTTTAGACTTTATTGAAATCTGTACATGAGACCTTAATGGGCCACAAACCAGAAAGTGGACAATGGCATCTGATTTGAGGGACGAAAAGATTATGTGGATATTTACTGAGGAGAAAAAAAGTTAGCAAGTAGCTCGTAGCAGCTTATCTGCCTCCAGCCCAAACCGATCACACTGCTTTTATTTGAAGATGTAGGTGAAAAACCTCAGTTCACATCCTCACCAAATACCCTTTTCTCTCGTGCTCAAGTACATCAGTGTTTTAAATGTATACGGTACTTTCACAGTTCCCTACATTAACCAAATGATTTTTTTTTTTTAAATACCAAATTATTTTAAGAAAAGCTACTTACACAAATTCAACCTGAGTACTTCTTTCCACTGTGAAGAATCTTAGAGCCAGTGCAGGATGAAATCACCCTCTTAAATTAACAGGACTGTGTAAGCACAAAGCAGTTTTGCAGGCCACAGGTGGGAAAGTTTGGTAAGTTTTCCTTCCCTTCTTTCCAGTGTTTGCTCCTATAGTAATACAGCAGGACAGCCTCTGCTAAAAGGGTCTGTTGGTAGACATGTGTCAATTAAAAATGAGATTTGCCAGAATATAGTTAACTGCAGCAACACAAGACTTTATGTGACCATCAAGGTACTAATGCTACTTCAGAGATTGTATAAGAGAGCCATTTCCAGTATATTTTGTATGTGCACAACTATTTATACATTTATTTTTTGCCCCTCTTAATATCTCATTTTGCTTTTGTTAATATGCAAGCTAGATTACAGAGGCCCAACTTACCCAGTACCGTGGTGATGCAGAATCTGAATGTAAAGGCAAAGGGAACCTCACTGCAACAGTATGTTGCAACAGCTGATCATCCCTTCAAAGAAACTACGCTGAACATAATGCACTGCACGTATGTGCATCTGTGTGTGCATAAAGCAATGGGAGAGAAGGTAAGAATGTTTGTAAAGATACTAGCCAGAAAGCAGAAAAAAAGATTCACTTAAACTTTTCTGGGAAAAGACAAGAAAATTTCTCACAAGAGCAAATACTGCCTTTTACTTGTAAGTTTTACCTTAAGATATCAGAATTTAATGATTTTTTAAGAAGACAGCTGCAACATTTAATACCTTTGGAAGTACATTTCTCATTTATACATCCAGACCAAATTCTTAATTTTTTTTTTCTTTTTAATTAACCCCCCCTCCTCTCCTACATAAGTAAATCCCTCTAAAATTAAACTACACGCCCCCCACGAGATGAAGACTTGGCAGAACTGTTACGCTATTTTCCCCAGTGAGTACTTAAAGACAACTGGCAGGTAATTTCCCCCCTTCCCCATACATGAATACAAAACTTTACACGCATTATAGGATTAATTTTTAAAAATCTCTACCAAACAAGAAATAAAATTAAAAACAAAAAACCACGAGTATACATTTTCTACTTTGCTATTAAAAATGCATTTTAATGACTAGAAACAAGTTACAATTGAAGATGACATATTTGAGAGAAAGGGTTGAAAAACAGGAAAAGGATGAAAGGAGGAAGACCAAGATAAAAAGCATACAGATAATTAAGCAAGATGTTTACTGATATCCAGGAGCATTTGCACAAAGCCTTGTACCTCTGTGCTGTAGTCACAAAGCTGACACAGTCATGCTAATGAGTGCTTTTCCTACCTCTATCCTTATGTCTTCAGCTGTTGTTGGGGGACAAATTACTGAGGAGGCCTCAGTAAAAGCAGGGGATTGTGTGTACAGATAACTTCACCAGGTCTCTCCACTAGGCCCCCTCCAAACAAGAGCTCTGCTGAGAAAGATTGAGTTTTGAAGAGCTTGAATTTAAATACCAATGAAGGAGGCTCTTTACATGCACAGAGAAGTAAGGAAGAAAAAAAAATAGGAAATGAAATTAGAAAAGCAGGGAAACTGCTTATAAAAAACAAAAATTTAAAAAAAAAAAAAAAAAAAAAGAAAGGGTGGTGGTCAGAAAGCCTTTTCTTGATTTCAGCGTTTCAGTTGATGTATCAAGAACAGCCTAATGTAAAATACTGCCATCAGTTTTTTATTGGTTTATGGTTAAGATTTTATGATAACACCAATTCATTTTCTTTCTGAATCCCGTGAAAATCAATTCCAAGTGAATCTGTGGCTACTATAGCTCATTAAATTAAACTCATAAGTTTAATTTAAATAACAAGTTATATTCAAAGAGTTGCTACCAGCCAGCAATCTGACAGCCCGGTGATTTGGAATAAACCAAACCAACGCCTTCCTATTAAATATAGTACATCGTGTCAGATGCCCAGGAATGTGCCATAAGCTTAAACATTTACTTGGCACATTGTCCTCAGACACCAACAGCTCTCTCCTGATACTTCTTGGCCAACGCACCTTCCACGTTGATAGTCAGACACCATTCACACACAGCCATATTTCTTTGTTTGGGTTACTTGTTCATCACTGCAAAGCTACGCAGATGCACGACGAAAGCACAGCTTCACTGTTCACTGTCACCCTTTCCAACCTCACTGCAGTTTAAAACTAGAGAACGAAGGGTGAAAGACTGGAAGGCTCTCAGAGTTTCAAGTCTGAAGCACGGCACTTCCCACCAGTGCTATGTAGCACTCATAACACAGTCATCAGAAAGTACTTCCCCACGTGCAAGCTCTCCCAGTTTAACCCCTTTAAGCCGACGTGAGATGGGGTTGTGTGCAGACAGCAGCTCTGACACGTGTTCTGTTGTGTGCATTCCTAGAAGAGCATAACTTAATCATATGACTGACATTTTGCAGTGAGAATTGTTGTTTTTTTTTTTTTACACTGCAGGTAAACTTGCAAAGCTGCCCACAAGTCAGCGCCACCCGAACACTGTTCAGCACAAACATGCATATTAACAGTTAATGCTTGCTTCAAATACATACTTTCTATCAAATTAATCTGGGCTACCAGCACTCCTTACCTCTGTGAAAAAGACAGAATTGAAGAGACACTGTCACCGCAGAATTAAGAAAAACAAACATTTCTATTCTTAAGCATCCACGTTTTGATATCTAAAAGTGTATGTAGCTGACTCCTGATAATGCACTGTTTACTTTTTTCCCCACCAGTTTAAACAATAGTAGTTTCACTTCTTGTCTTATGCTTGCTCAACACTGTAATATTTATACTGCAAACATGCAGGAATTTATAGCCCTTGTTCATTTTTAAAACTTACATTTTAAAATAGATGCGAGTCAAATATTCTGCCATCCCTCTCTGCTGGCTGCTTTAGTTGACATGAATATTTAGGACTAAAGGGCTTCTTCACAGCCTTTGCTTTCAGTGACACGCAGATAACAAGAAAAGGAGGAAAGATTCAATTGAAATATCAATTCTAAGCATTATTTTAAAAATATTGGTGCACTTTTGGCAATGACTGCACTGTTACTCGGTTCAGGTATAGCCTATGACATCACTTAATGCTCTCAACTTAATTGAGGCTACTGTGTGGTCCAGAGAGCAAAAAGAATGGAGAGAAATATATACCTTAATTACCTTTATCTGGAAGTAACAGTAAGACTCTGAACTCACAGTTAGAACTGCAGTTCTAAAAAGCAATTTTTTTTGACCTAACAATTCTGTGGGTTTTCTTTTAAGCATTATTTATTATTATTAAATGACTGTAATGCAGCAATAAATTAGCATCACTTCACCACAGAAAGGTGCAGTCATTCAGGATCAAGCTTATGCACTCTCACCATAAATCTTCCCCTATCTTCTACCAAGCAGCTAAATATTTTTAAGACTAGCATCAATGTGCATTAAAAAGACACAGTGCTTTGGATAATTTTCTGAGCACAAGGAAGATTATTTGAACAGAGATAGCTAGAGCTGTTCTGCAGTTTTGGTTGTAAATTATGGGTAAGGTCAAGCACACAAGCTTTGAGGAAAAAAAGGGTATTATCTGTTAACTGTTTCACAATAGTGTCAACAATTTTTCCTCCGTAATCACAGTGAGAGACTGAGACAATGACAGAAGTTCTGTGCAATGTAAAATATTACTAATGAAATTTAAGCAGATAACTGCTGATTACAGAAATTTACTGTTGCTAAATTTGGAGAATCTATAACATGTGTCCAGCCATTCCTCCAAGGATCATAAACAAACATATTTAGACTATCTGGAGAGCTACTGCAAAAGATAAACATAAAGTAACAAAGTCAGCTAAAAAAAAAAAAAAAAAGCCAGTAACTAAAACGTTAAGAAAGTCTGCAGTTTAAAAATATATATGAAGCCTGAAAATGCAGTTATGGTCCATCACTATTAAATTCAACTCCAAATCTTTTTAAATTCATCTCAGTACTCCAACCTGGCTTACACTGACCTGACTTGCATGTTCTGTTGTAGGAGGTGCACCAGTCCTTCACTGCAGTCATATCAACAAACACAGAGTCATTTGGAATGGCAATATTGAGGCTTCCGAGGAAGTGATGGACAGCAATTGAAATGCTCTGTGGAAGGAAAGAAACTAAAAGGTACTCAGATCTGAAGTGAGAAATCAAGCACAAAACTTGAAACAAATTTTTTCTCTTGCTAGAATTAAAAAAAAAAAAAAAAAAAAAAAAGCCCTAAGGGAAGCTGACAGACGGCAGACAAATATTATCAATGTATATTTCAGTTTTGACTCCAGCTTAAAAATAAAATTGAATAAGACCAACTCCTCACACCTCTTTTCCCAGCTTCTCAAAAGTGTTTTGTCAGATGTTGATGCATTAACTATATTTCTATATGAGGTATTTTAATGTGAACTCATGAAGTGTAACAAAGCTTTGCGTCCCAACAGAATTTGGAAAAGTTGTATTTCAGAACAGCTTCCCACATCCCTCCTTCTTTGCACTGCTGCAGCATGCAGACAACTTTTAAAAATCTGTCTTCTCTGCACCTTTGGCATGCACACAAGAGGAAAACTGTGCGAACGCTTTCAATCTGTACTCTTTCTGCTTGAGAGGACACATACAAAATTAGAAAAAGAAATACACTATTTTCTGCGTTCTAGGTAGCTGTGTTTTATATGTTACTACAGTAGTTATTAAAATGTGTCTTCCTCCCTCCCTACCCCCCTACCCCCCCAAATTTTCATCACAAAAAGATCAATACCTGGTCTGTAGAATCTACCAAAAAGAAAGCCAGGATCACCTTGAAACAAAATTCAATTTCTAAATGTCTTTTTTTTTTTTTTTTTTTTTTAAATTGAAAGTTTTTTACAACATCCTTTAAGATTTTTTTTTAATCTTTTTATTCCAATTCTCCAATAAATGTGCATTTTTAGATAATTATACAGTTACCCCCAGAAAAGATTATCCTATTTTTACAATTTAAGTTGTTGAAACCTCACATGTAGAACTTCCGTGGTAAAGGAGAAAACAGAAGAATTGCCAAAATAACAAAATCCCCACAATGTACAGTGAAGAGCTATTAAGACAGAGGAACAGGTTCTCCTCTTAAATATATCACATTTTTCCTAGCTTGCCCTATAAAAGAATAAAGGTAAATGATAAAGATTCAGAATATCTCAGCAAGCTTTTAGGTTTTTGTCCTTTCCATTCTTTTCTAGCTTTCTTAAATTAAAAAAAGGAAGTTCCCTTTTTCCCCACCCAAATTCTCACCAGGCTTTTTCTTTTAGCCCAGGCAGCAGACACAGGCCTGGTGTAAAACACTGTGCTCTTCTAAGCTGGCACCCACTCTTTTGTGAAAGAAAGGCAAGCAGGTACTGCTGTTTAAGTATTTTAACTCTAACATCTACACCAAAGCTCTTCCTATCCTCTACAGGAGGATCAGTTACCCAGCATTACTGCTGGGAAAGGGGAAAATAATTAGCTTTAGTCAGGCTTCTTATCTGAAATTGATAAATCATAAGGACTCACAGGATGGCAGTAAAACAAAATGTACAGAAGTGAATATATTTTTTAAACATGACCCTGCTATGCAATCCTACTTGCTCTGGACAACAGCACCCATCTTTAATTTTCAATTGCTGCCTCTCTGAATTGTGAAGAACTATAATGCCTGAAGACAGAGAACCAAGCCTGTAGCTCAGAATGCAACCTCACTTGTAGAGGGCTACATTTGCTGCCCGCCTGCTTCTAAAAGATTTAGGGTCAGAGTGACAACGCTGTAAAATAAGGGTCAAAGCACAGAAAGACCAAGGCCACAGAACAAAGAGCTTTTCGTGTCCTGAAAGAAGTTGCCTCTTGTGAGCCTGCCTTCTGGCCCAGACAGTAAATTTGTCTTTATCTTCTGTCTCTTGACATCATCACTACACGACTTCTATGAAATGCCAGACAATGTATGACTTATGAAAGGTAAAACTGCTGTTAGAAGAGATTGACTCAACTGTTAATGGAATCCTCTAGTTAACATCAGGGGAACACCTACCAGCAACTGCTGTAATTCTCCCAGCCCTTGCCTCCATCTCTGCAGCTTCACGATTTAAGCAGTCACTTGAGCAGAAGCTTCGGGTGCCTTTAACACCTTTGGGGTACCAGGTTTCTAGTCATACTACCTACTTATTTTTCCTTCAGTCAACAGTAGCTGAAGAAATACACAGGAGCAGCAGCAGCCCTGATGGAAGGCTGATCATTTCCCTCCCCCCCCTTATTCATACAAAAGATATCTATTTGCACACACACAAGCACACACACATGAATACTCCCATTCAAAAACATTTATGGGTTTGTTACCCACTCCCCCATCAGCGAGACCCATGACTCACAGACTGAGCTAGTGCACAGGAATACAGTGCTTTCTAAGGCTGACTGCTAAACAGTGAAGTTCATTTCCACAGCTAGAAAACAAGCTGTGTTTGGGATATGCCCTAAACAAGAGTTTTGCTAAATGAAAGGAACTTCATCCACTTGAGAGAAAAGAAAAAAAAGAAAAAAAAAAAAGAAAAAAAAGATGAGGATGCTGGGTACCTCCTAAGGCTTTATATTAAGCTAGATTTTCAATATTTCACTAACGAGCTTAAAGTAAAACCATACTGAATTAACCAGAAGTTAATATATTAAGAAAAAATGTAAAATCCAATGCCTAAAACCACAGTAGCAGTTGAGAAATTGAGTGGTACTATCAGTCCTATCAAATGCTTAATAAATAGCCACAAAACAAAAAGATATCAATATCTTAACAATCAGCACCCAGCTTTTAACAAAAAAAAAAATATTATTTTTGAAATAAATAGCCAGTTAGCAGTACACCCTTTGAGCAAACCTCAGTACTGTGAGAACTCGCTCCCCCATATCCCAAACCTTAGTGGTAATTCAGATTCTTTCATATAAGCTACTGCCTTTTTTTTTTTTCCCCTCCTCCTGCAGGTCTACAGCATGACGTTGTAGAAAATTAGAGCTTCCTTACTTCATATTAAATGCTTTCCCAACAAAGCAGATACCTTTAGCTCTCAAATTCACTGTATTTAATTTTTCCCCCCCCATCCTACTGATTTAATTTAAGGCTGGAACTGGAGACTGAGATATATAGGATTAGGTTAAAAACAAAGCAAAACAACTTACCTTTCAGCTATGGAGATCTACAGGGCTTTTTTTTGAGTTACAATTCCAGCAGAAGAAAAGCTCAGCATTTTCAAAAGGAAGCAGATTTCTCTGCTTTTACTCTGCATTAAGTTATAAGATGCATGATCCCATGCATTTCAAGCATTAAAAGCAGCATTTAGGAACATGCTTTGTTTTCTTCCAAAATATTTAATATACTTGAAAGATATCTTGTAGGAAAAGCCTAGTGTAACATATGAAGGGCCTACTCCAACCATCCTACACTTTCTGAAGGAAATGATTACTCCTCATCTCTCAAGAAGCACTGGTGCGAATATACCAATTTTCCTTGTGGTGAAAAGCAACCCACAAGTTGAGGAACTGATGCAAACTGGCAGATTTCCCCTTCTAATTCTGAGACATATGCGTCATCTTTTTGTCAAAAGCTGGGAAGAAAAAGAATCTCTCTTCCAGCCTGCCACAAGAAACCACCTGCTTAAAGGCAGAACAGAACAATATCGCAGCACTGCTCTGCACGCTGCTGATACTCACACATTTGTTCTTGCTGTCTTCAAATAATAAAATTCTGAAGACAGCCTGAAATGTTAACAACTGAACTTCTCTTGCTGATTTAAGGCCAAAAATCAAATCAATAAAAGAAAAAAAAAAAAAAAAAAAGATAAAATATTCATGTTGGCAAAAATTGATAAGTGTTTTACCTACAGAGCACCAAGAATTCAATTTCTTAGCAGCTTATATGCATGCTGGTTTAAGCACTTGAATATTCAGCTTGATTTTATATTAAACATTCATGTTCTCAAGAATGAGTATAATGTGCAGTTAGGATTTCTTCTAGCTAATAACCATGGTCAGTGATAATTCCTTGCCCACTCTCCACATCCCCCCCCCAAATAAAACAAAAGCCTCCTCTAGGATCCAGAGACTTTCATCACTGAAGCATTCTATTATCCTTTTTTTTCCCCCCCCTCCCTCACTTCCTATTATTTTTTTCCTTTTGTCAATTTTATCCAGGTCAGGACTACACACTGTAGGATGAAACAATCTCCCTTCCACAAATTCTGATTAACTTTGGGCACATCATCGCCAGCAGATTACGTTTTCAAACTGCACTGAAGTTGCAGACCAGACCTGCAGAGATAGGTGTGAATATTTACTGCAACAATGCATGGCAATATTTCTATCCATATCCCTTATTAAAAAAAAGAAAAAAAGAAAAAAGCTGGTAAAGAAAGAATAAATTTTAAACCTCTAAGAACATGAAAGCAATACTATTTGAAAAGCTGGTACATAAGGTAGGAACGAGCACACCACTTGAACCTCAGATTAGCCTTTTGATATCAAAGTACATATAAAACACAATGTGCAACTCTTTGGATAGATATGAACACACATCTATAAAATACCCCATGTTGAAATCTGTACCACAGCACTTAGGAACATTTACACTGCTGGATGCATACGTTTTGGTACAATGAGAGAATTTGCATTCCTAAAATAAGAATCCTTGAGTGCATTTCAAGAACCATGACATCACCCCTTTGCACTACAGGTTGCTGTTTACAAGCGATGGGGATGTCCAGTAGACCACAATTAACACTGCAACCTGTGAAAACTATCGTTTATTATGTAATGCACTGTTATGTAAATTGTTTAAATCCTGCACAATACACACAGATGAGCAATCAAGTGCTGTATTTAACTGTGGGGGAGTGATCATCTCACTTCAACTCCGTTTTTACATTTCATATACTGGTTTGGTAAAATTACAGGCATCATCTGCCCGTCTGATCTCTTATAAATTTATTTCATTAAAAATTAAATATATTTCCTTGTTAATCTAGATAATTTAGCAGTATTTCCCTGGCTATTAGTATTGCTGTAAATTTGTTACAATTGGTTCCACAAAACCTGACTTCTCAGCTGTCAATGCAGCAAATTCAGAC